GCAGAGTGGATTTCCGAGATTTCGCGAGCATATGCTTTGAGGAATTTGGAGACCGAGTGAAGCTATGGTTGACGATAAACGAGCCATGGGTCTATAGTGTAGGTGGCTATGATGCGGGAAGGAAAGCACCAGGACGTGCCTCAAACTACATGAACGATGCAGCCGAGGCCGGTAATTCCGGTCATGAGGCTTATATTGTTAGTCACAATCTACTTCTGGCTCATGCAGAAGCTGTTGAAGCCTTCAGAAATTTCACTAATGTATGAACCACTCATCTTGTTTTACTTCATACAGTAATCAAAATGTTATATTATCAACATATAATAAAGTCTACTTTATATATGAATTTGGCATGAGAAATATAATGCATATATATTTGTGTTCATCAGTGTAAAGATGGTAAGATCGGTATGGCGCATTGTCCTTTATGGTATGAGCCATATGATTCAACTAATGTCGAAGATATTGAAGCATCCGAACGAGCTATGGAGTTTATGTTTGGATGGTACGTACGGTCATGATAATTATTATACTTTATATATAGTTTACTCTTCGATTATTAATTAATACTTTTTTTTTTGTTATTATAGGCACATGAGTCCTACGGTGTACGGAGATTACCCTGAAGTAATGAAGAAAATAGTGGGAAAAAGATTACCATCTTTTACCGAAAGCCAGTCAAAAAAGTTAAAAGGATCTTCCGATTTCATTGGAATAAATAATTACAGCTCTGTTTACGCTAAAAATGTTAATGACGTGGATCCCGACAAGCCTTTTTGGAAATAAGATCAACATGTTGAATGGAAAAGTAAGTAGATTTAGTGAAGTTGATTGCATTATTGGTTAGTTAATTCCTTGACTCATAAGCTTTTCTATTTTCGTATATTTTAAACAGAACAAAATAAGGCGGGCAAGGCCATCGGTGCACAGGTTAGATTTAAAATAACTTCAGATTTCTATATTTTTAACATATTGATTGATTTATATACTAGTTGATAAAAAAAATTTACTTATATAATTTACTTTTTTTTTATAATGTGGTTTTAGGGTGGAGTGGAGTGGAACTTGATGTATCCACAAGGACTACGAAAAGTTTTGAATTATGCTAAAAATAAATACGGAAACCCTAAATTTATAATCACGGAAAACGGTAAATAAAATTCGATTGACAAGCTTCAACTAGATTCCTATCAATGATACTAGAATTAAAATTTTAAATGTATGTTTTTTTTTATTTGGTAAAATGTTAAATAATTTTAAATGTATGTGATCAGGACATTGTGATGCATACGAAAAGAAATCAAAGCTCAATGAGTTGATGGATATGAAGAGGACAGATTATCACAAGAAAATGTGTATTGTGACCTTCACCAATCCATATAGTAAGCTCATTTAAAAAACAAAAACTTATAAACCCATTATTTTCTTCAGAAAGAAAAAAGAAAATGTGTATTGATGATCAATCAAGATTTTTATAGGATCGTAATCTGAAAAAYGAAATGTTTTGTAGTGAGGATGGGGTCCAAGTAGATGGATATTTTGCGTGGTCGTTGCTTGATAATTGTGAATGGAATTGTGGATATGAAATACGATACGGATTGTTCTACGTAGACTTTGAAGATGGGCTTAAGCGTTATCCGAAAATGTCTGCGATGTGGTTCAAGGAGTTTTTGAAGAACAAAGATGAAGACATTAATTATAAAGCAATCTAAAGTGAAAAGGGTAAAGATTTCGGAATTTTGAAGATATGCAATAAGGTTTGACATGGCCATGTGCTTACGACG